TAACGAAATAAATATTCTACATTCTTTTCTCGACACTGTACACTTGCGAGGCTGAAAAATCGAAAATTCATTATTTGCCTTCCTGCATCAATTATACTATATTAAAAATTCTCAATTCTTAATCTTCCGTAATTTATGAAATAAGTAATCAGTAATCATAAACGATTAATAATAAATTTCAGAACAATTCAAATTAAAAATATAAAATATATACATTTCACGAAAATAGAAGAAATTAGGCAATATTCCTGTGCTAGTAACGAAATAAATCTATATAAATAATTACATTTTATAATAATGCTGATTTTAAATAAAAAATCTATTTTCTATTTTAATATTTAAAACTAGCAACATTTATGTTGCATGAAACTTTTATCATCCCATATAAAGACAATACTGATTGTTATCGGAAAATACAATACAATAAATATAACAAATTTAAATCTTTTATTTGAATTTTTTATAAAAACGAGTGACCTAATTACAAGGATATTAAATATTGAAAATTATGGAATTTTGTGAATTTAACTTCAGTAATAAAAAATATTAAATTACACTTTCAATATATTTTATTTTAACTATTAATTTAATTTAATCAAAATCTTTATCCCTTTCAAAAAATCTCTATAAGCATTTCCGATACCTTTATATGTACTCAATAATATTATATAATTGTTTTCTTTCGCTACTATGCACAATATGAATCAGCAGATAAATCGAAATTACATTTCCATTTTATATAAATGTTTCAAAAAGATCCAGTTATCCCAGTTTAAATGGACAGCCGGGAGCGAATTGATTTTGCGTACGTTTGTTTGCGCGTTTTCGCGCATGTAATCACCCTCGCTAATCATCTTTTTCTCGTTTCCCTTTTTACTGTTTTTTTTTTTTTCGCGCTCGAATATCGCGGATGTATTCGGATTTTCACGGGAGGAGAGAGATCGGCATTAATAATTAGAATTAAGTTGCCGAGTAGCCGAGAGGCGAGGCTCGGCAGAGGTAAAATTATCGCGGTAAGAACGAGGTAAATAAGAGGAGTGTATCTTGCTGGCTTCGATAGCGCGTAACCGCTAAACCTCTCTAACCACTGAGCATTAAAAGGAGCGCCGGCCACGAGAAAAGGATTAGTTTCCTCGAAGGCGTTTAACCGTGATTACGGGATCGACGTGGATCGCTCTCGCACGTGATCAAGGTGATGTGCAAATCGCGACATGCGCGACGCTGCCGGCGCAAATCCGCACCGGACAAGCGGGAAGACCTCGCAAATTCAAGACCTCGTTTCATCGAGAGAAATCTGTGAAAATTCAACACTTTCAGGATTGATTAAATAAAGAAGCGTGCTGATAAATTTAATCACACATAAAATAACACAGGTTTCAAGCATCCACGTAAAATATTTTCGAATAAAATTATAGTCTCTTTTCAGTAACACGAGAGATATATATTTTTTTAATCGACTTTACTCTTTTAACTTTGTCTTCACTGAGAGGATTAAAGTTCATCAAATCAAAGTAGCAGTATAAAAAGAAATTCCAATTTTGTTTAAAACATGTGACGAACAATCTCAGGAGGTTTACGGGTATCTCATCGTTCATATAATTTCTGCCTTTTGCATTGAGTGTAGTGGTGCTGGCTCACTCATATCTCATCAGCTTAGCCATTTGGCGTACATTACAGAAGTCTATGATAATGCCCATGACAAAAAGTCCGACACTTCTGGGGTCAAAGATCTCAAAGCTCCCATCTCTCTGGACTCGCGTGCGAGCGTCTCTCTCGTGCTTTCGCATTTATCAGACATATTTCTCGCGGTCACCTCATAGTACACACCTCGATGAACGAACGACAACGCGAACGAGAAGTAGGACAGATGCATGAGAGTTTGTTCCGCCCAGTAAATAATTAGTTGGAAAAATCTCATTAAACAACCGAACATTTCTCTCGCGTTATAAAAAACAAAAATATTCCGTAAGTACATATAAGATCTAACTTCAAACGCGTCTTTATCAAAAGAAAATTATATCGTGTTATGCCAATCGAGAAAGATTATTATTGGATTTAAATATTTTACTACCGAAATAAAACAAGATGCAAGGGTCGTTTATCGATGCACCTGTTCTGAACGCGCGCGGAATGCAAAAGTCGCCGCGTGACAGTCTCGACGCATGTTACCGGGTCTGGAAAAAAATGTCTTTGCTCCCTGTAGCATGTTTTTTCCTTGTTTTTTTTTTTTGTCCCATGTGCATTGCCCATTCTCGTGGGCCGGATGCGCGATACTCGAAGTCGTAAAATACCACCGTCGCGCAACTGAGAGAACCGGTTGCTCTCGTGTATCGGAAAACAAATATTTTTCGCTGCCTATCCGGCGGCTTTAAATATGTGGGTCCGACACATGTTTCTCTCACACTAATTTCCTACTTAATGTAGCTCATTTCTAAATACTTGCTTTGTAATGTGTAAATATATATGTAACAACGAATATACGAAGAGAATTCTCGGTCGCATAAAAATTTGTACTTGTAAAAACTTGATAAACATCTCTATAAAATCTCCCTGTCAAAAATCACATCAAACGATTTCGTACCGTCGATGATGACCGATAGAATATATTATCTTAGTGGAATCTTATTTATAATTTAATATTTCAAAATTTTTGTCAGTACATAAATCTCGCTCGTGTTTGTAGCTCATGTAGGACACACGCGCAACAAACATGAGGAGATTTACTTCCGAGATGTAAGAAAACTTCCTCGTCGGCTACTATCTCCGTCGCGTTATGAAACCCAAGCACGTCATTGCCGATAAATCAACGCAACAGTCGGCCGATCTCGCGGGCAATTCTCGATCGCCGGCCAGCCAGCCGACCGATCAATCACGCGCTTTCAATCCCCGACACGTGCGCGATCCGGCGAACGTCCCAGCGTACGAGCGAACGAACATCAGCGTGGTATCGCGAATCAGCACCAGGTGGGCAGCTCACGCTAATTCGCCAGTTAGCCCCATGCGGCACTCGATGTTGATTCGCATCTGCCTACCCACGCTCGCTCTCAGAACTGATCGACCCTCACTGACGCTGTAATTTTAAAGACGAATCGACGAATAGACGAATAGACGAACTTGAAATTATTGGATATTACTTTTTATCTTAATTAATTCCTTTTTTCCTCATATTTTTCTAAACTCTCTCTCCGAATTTGGAAAATTCGCCCAAGTTTGTTCTATTTTTCCTTAAATGTAACATACGGTGAAATTAAGCCTCTCATTCCAATTTAAAACCTTCATTAAAACGTATTCATCATATATTATATGTACATATAATTATATGTATTATACATGTAATTTGACGATAGCATATAAAAATTTTTTTTTTATTT